GCAGCAGCAGCATACTGTTCACTGAGAGGGAGGCGCTGAAAGAAGGGGGCGAGGGGCTGCAGCAGCAGCCTCTACCCCCCCGCCCCCACCCCATCCCCACCCACAGCAGCAGCCGCAGCAGCAGCAGCACCAAAAACAGCAGCAGCAGCAGCAGCAGCAGCAGCATACTGTTCACTGAGAGGAAGGCGCTGAAAGAAGGGGGCGAGGGGCTGCAGCAGCAGCCGTTTGTCTGTGATTACATCCGCAGAAAAATTAAAAACAAATAAACACAATACATGGCTCCCCTGCAGCAGCAGCAGCTCTTGCTGCTGCTGCTGCTGCTGTACTTTCTGCAGCAACTCAACCTGCTGCTGCTGCTGCTGCTGCTGCTGCTGCTGCTGCTGCTGCGGCTGCAGCAGCAGCAGCTTATCTAGCTGCTCGCTTGCTGCTGTGAAGACTCTCCCCGAGAGAAAGGCTGCCTGCTCCAGCAGCAGATCTCTATCTATTCTGGCGAAGGCGACCACTGGTCCTTCTGTACCTTTTTGCTGCTGCTGCTGCTGCTGCTGCTGCGGCTGTTGCTGCTGCTGCTGCTGCTGCAGCAGCTCTTCGCTGCTGCTGCTGGTGCTGCAGGAATCCCAGTCAGAGTTGCTGCTGTCGCTGCCGCAGACAGAGACAGCTGTAGGCATCGTGGAGGGGTCGCTTGCTCCTATAGGTGTGCTTCTGTTGCTGCTGCTGTTGCTGCTGCTGTTGCTGCTGCTGTTGCTGCTGCTGCTGCTGCTGCTGCTGCGCCGGTGACGCCGGTGGCGGTGCCGGCCCCGCCTTGCTCGTGAATGTGAAGCAGCAGCAAAAAAGGAGAGAATGTTATGCACGCGTCTGCTGCTGCTGGGTGTAGCAGCAGCAGCAGCAGCAGCAGCAGTTGCTGCTGCTGCTGCTGCTGCTGTCTCCGTAGACCTGTGCACTTTCTTAGATCGAAGCCCACCCTGCTGCTGCTGCTGCTGCTGCTGCTGCTGCTGCTGCTGCTGCTGCAGTTGTTTATGTTGTTGTTGCTGTTGTTGTCTATTGGTGTATCTATGGTGCTGCATATGCATTTGTTGCATGAGCTGCTGCTGCTGCTGCTGCTGCTGCAGCAGCAGCATCTGCTGCTGCTGCTGCTGCTGGTGCTGCTGGTGCAGCAGCAGCGGCTGTCTGCTGCTGCTTCTCCTTGTCTTTCTCTTCTGCTTTCGGGTGTATAGGCAGCTCAGGGGCTGGCCGCTAGGGTGCAGCACCTCCAGCGGCACCAAAGCCCCCATCAATAAACATTTTTCTTTTTTTTTTAGTTGTCGCAGCAGGCTGTATCGTGTTGCTAGTGAAGACAAACGGCCTAACACACACAAACCCTAAACCCTAAACCCTAAACCCTAAACCCTAAACCCTAAACCCTCAAAATTTTTTTTGCTCGTCAACGCCATCGGCCACTGAAAAATATTTATTACACAACTTACACACTAGCACACAAACCCTAAACCACCAAACACAAACATCGTAAACCCTAAACCCTAAACCCTAAACCACCGCTAAGGAGTTCACGACGAATCTGTAGGCAGCCAGGACACCTCCTGCTATTTAGGGTTTGCATGAGGGTTTAGGGTTGCATGAGGGTTTAGGGTTTGCACGAGGTCTCATGGTTTGTATGAGGGTTTAGGGTTTGCGTGAGAATTTAGGGTTTGCATGAGGGTTTAGGGTTTGCATGAGGGTTTATGGTTTGCATGAGGGCCTAGCGTTTTTCTGAGGGTGTGGGGTTTGCATGAGGGTTTGGGGTTTGTATGAGGGTTTAGGGTTTAGGGTTTAGGGTTTGCGTACCCGCAGAGGCCCCGAGGGTTTGCAAGAACTCTGCTTCTCTCTCAGGCAGCTGCGTGATGCGCTCGAAGCCATGGGGCCCGAGGAAGCGCTCTAGGAGTTTTAGCTCTGCAGCAAACCCTAAACCCTAAACCCTAAACCCTAAACCCTAAACCCTGGACCTTGGGTTCCATAGTACAAGTCACAAACAAAACACACAAACCCTAAACCCTAAACCCTAAACCCTACAAATGCCAGGGAACAATAGACGCACTGCTGCACGGGTAGGCGCTGCTCCCTTGGGTCTGCAAACACACCACAAACCCTAAACCCTAAACCCTAAACCCTAAACCCTAAACCCTAAAACACTCTACAAAGGCGAGGGCTGGTGATGACTTCTCTCTTCTCGGGGGTTTAGGGTTTAGGATGCACACCCTTCCACTGCCGTCCGCTGCACCACAAGCCCAACACAAACCCAAACCCTAAACCCTAAACCCTAAACCCTAAACCCTAAACCCTCAGCCTTTGCTCGCAGTGTAAGAGCAAAAACCGCAGATCGCTTGTCGGTTCTTGTGGGGGTTTGTTAGCTCAGCAGCACCTGTGAAGCCTAACTATAGTTTCAAGGGTTTAGGGTTTAGGGTTTAGGGTTTGCGAGGGTTTACAGCGTTCGTTTGGATCGAAGAAATTAGGAACCCCCATCCTGAAGACCATTCCCTCCAGCTCGCCAGCAACTGCAAGCCAAGCACCCTAAACCCTAAACCCTAAACCCTAAACCCTAAACCCTAGAACTCAAGTCTTAGTATCTTCCTGATGATGTTAGGGTTTAGGGTTTAGGGTTCAGAGGCAAGACAAACCCTCGGTGAGGGCGAAGGCGTTGTCAACTG